TGGAAAACTTTGACTATTTTTCACCATTTTCTGTCACTTTATAGTCTTAACGATGAACCAATTTAGAGATTACTGAACAAATGAAACAGATTTAAATTGATGAGGAAAGTCATTATAGCAGCCCGATGATGGCACATAACGTCTGAGTCATCCAAGTAAAGTCAAGACTTGTTTCACCTTTTTTTACAAACAGAAAAATAAGATTTTAAGACTCTGCACAAGATAAAAGTTCAAAATCCAAACAAAAAGCGTCTAAAACTTACCAAAAAAAAAAAAAAAAAGCATCAACCAGCCAGCTGGTTGCCAACAGTTGAAATCCAAAACGTGTCCTTTTTCGTTGCCTCTTTGGTGTTTGTTCATCTGAAGACTGCTGTAAACAAACTGGAGGTAAACATCCTCGTAAACACCAAAGGGGTGAGAAATGTGCACGAACCTTGTTGCTCCACCAGGGGGCAGCAAATACCTCTACAGTCTGCACAAACCCTTCAAAATAAAAGCAGAACAGTTTGTACCACAGAAATAGTGTCTTCCGGCTGACGTCATGTTTACTTTTGACTCTTGTTGGCTGAGGAGAGAGGAGAGAACCAACCTTCATACAAGTCATCCTTCATGGAGCAACAGAGCAGCAACGTGCAGAGGGGCTTCACAAAAACACTGACACCAAACAGAACAACAACAAACAGGAAACAGTATTTCTCTCCTCACCGTCAGCAGCACTCTGTTATCACAGTCGTCGTGGTGCTTTAGGATCATTCAAGAGAAGCTTTACAGGCACAAAGTGGTTCCACTGCTGTTCCACCGATCAACAGGGAACAAAAAACAGACAAAAACCCTTTTGCATCTTCACGCTCAGTGGTTTTTCTAAACTCTTGAATCACATTCAGTGTTTGATGTGCTGCCTGTCGGTGCAACGTAAAAGGATCCAAATTTACACGTCAGACTTTTTGTTGCGCGATGCATGAAACAGGAAGTGACGTCATCCTGTCGGGACTCGTTTTAGAAAGTTTAAACGTTTCCCTGCTGAATCTAAATCAAAACATTACACATGAGCTGATCCCAGTGAGAGTCCTGCTTCTGCAGCAACAGATATGTGTCTGATAGACCTGTTTAAAATAATATAACGAATCCAAAGTGCATCGTGCACAACGTGTTAGACACCTAAAAGAAAAGATCTATAGCAGTGTAAGTTCACGCTATATTTAGAATATTTCCACCACTTAACCTTGCTATAAAACAACCCTCTAACCAGCAACACGTATACAATGAGTCCCAGTAGGATAACATAAGGTTCTTGTTTGAAGCTGACATCTATGCTCTCTTCAAAGCCCAAAGACTCCACGGACAAAACAAGTTATTTAATCTCTCAGAAGAATAACACAAAACTAACCGATCAATGCAGCGGTAGACCAGAAACTCACATGTTCTGTGGGGTAAAAGGACTCTTCTTGTAGCTTTGAAGAGAGAACATAGATAACAGCTTCAGTTCCTCGTCAGAAAACAGAAAGTTATACTTTCTGATGATTTTGGTGTCTGTATCTTCATCACAGTAGTGATGTGTTGAAGTGTGGCAGTATGAGGTTCTTCTCCATAGTCAGTGTTTTACTACAGAAACAGACTGCATTAACCTGGACTATTTTTCACCATTTTATAGTCTCAATTTAGCAATTATAGATCAACTTATTGATCAAATCGATGAGGAAAGTCACCGTTAGTTTCAGCATAACATCCAGCCGTCACTTAACATAAGTTCAAGAGATCTGTGACCTGCATTTGAAAAAGAAGCATTAGCTTCACCTCTTCATCTTGCTGTCAGAGTGTCTCACACTCCACAGAATCTTTATTTTTACCTCGCAGAACACGGGAGTCGCTGGTCTACAGCCGGCTCGTTTGTGATATTGTGTGACTTTGGTGTGTTAAAGGGTTTGTTCAGATTCACCAAACTAACTGACGGATGGAGGCAGCGTCAGACCAGCAGCTCCTGTGGTCAGTGAGGTAAAAATGCTGTTTCTGTGAATGGAGTCTGGTGTCTTTGAAGAGCATAAATAACACTGACAATGGAGAAGAACCTCACACAACCACACTTCTAAACAGACAGACTATCCCTTTAGCTGGTCAAATGAAATGACTATAAAGATCCACATCCAAACTCTAGATGGGTAAACACACAACAAGGCAGTATCAGAGAAACAGGGTTTTTTTGTGCATTTCACTCGTCGGCCTTCAACAAACAGCTGAACGGAGTGCAGACACACTTCACATAAAGTGCAAACTGACGAGGTGTTTTTCCCCTCACGGCGTCAGACCGGCTGAAGCTCCAGGAAAAACCAGCAGCGAGACAGAAGACGAGGACGATCCGTCCGTCCTCCGGTCGACGTGTCCGCCGGTTTAATGGCTCTCTATCACCACGGGCTCGTACCCGCCTGCAGAGACCCTGCAAGGACCCAAACGCACCGGGACAACAGTCAGACGTCTCTTAATGCTTCACACTTTCATTGTTACAGTGGGAATTTCTATTGTTATTTTATTTTCTTATTGTGAAGCACTTTGTAGCATTGTTAAGAAAAATGCTTTATAAATAAAGTTTATTATTATTATTTAAAGTTCATTGTGTAGCATCAAACTGAAGTCTTGAGTATGGCATTTCTTTTTGGAAAATTTGCATTTGATGTTTAAATTAATTGGTGGATTATGGTGTGACCTCTGTAAAGAGAAAACTAAAAATACTGCGTAAAACATTCTGTAACTTCTGTATAAAAAGGAATCTCACCTCAATAAGCATTAATAGCAAATAAAAAAGTCATGTAATCCACAAATGTAAACATAAAGTAAGCAACACAAATCAAGCTGTAACATAAACTTAATCGAAATAAAGAATAACTTGAAACAAAACTACTAATATGACTATTTCAGAGCCACAAACTGGGAAGTGTTCCAAGAACTAAAACTGCAGTCTGCAGAAAGTTAAGTGAAAGAGGAAGAGAGAGACAGACAGAGACAGAAAGTCACGAGTGGAGTGTCTCACCTGTTTCCCAGCCTGATGCCGCTGAGCGCCGTCGTTCCGTCTCTGCTGACGAACAGACGCAGGTTGCTGTCTGAAAAACACACAAACACAGAAACACGGTCAGCAGCCGCTGACGGAAACCAGACGGCATCGAGAAGAGGCCAATAAGAAGGTGAGAAAACACAGAGCGGAGGAGGAGAGCTCGGTCCAGAGACGCTGCAGGAGTTACACAGTTTTAGACATCAACAACATGCCTTTAAATACAACATACATACCAAAACACACCGTTAAACTGTAACGCAACTATAATGTACGTCTTTAATGTAAACTACAAAAAGACATAAACGGTCAGAGAAAGGAAACTGTAGGCTTGTTTACACCATGTTTGCAACAGAGCGTCGACACGGCCCTCGATGAAGATGTCGACAGAAGTGGATTATGGGAAATGTAGTCTTTACAGCCGTGACACCGTTTTTGTTTGTATCTGTAACCTTCGTGCCATTAAAGGGATAGTTTGGATGTTTAATGTGAGGTTTGGAGAAACTGGAAGAGTTCACGCTCTTGGAACTAAACCTAAGGTCCTATAAGTCCGGTTTCATTCTTCTCAAATTCAGTGTTTTCGGGTTGCGGTGTTTACGTTTTAAAATGTATTTGTTTACGTTTTAATTATTCTGAATTCTGTGTTTTCCAATTTCAGCACATCAGAAAAAGTGTCCAACTGTGTGGTGGATTAGTACAATTTTAACAATTCAATAAGAAAACATAAAAAATGTATTTAATATCAATACATTTGATGTAACGCAACATCGCACTCTGTTGTTAAATCAAAGAAAGTGATTTATTTCGTAAAATAAATTGCTCTAAACTTAGCTGCAGAATTCCTCCGTTTTTTGGACGAGAACCAAGAAGAAGAATCGGGACCTTTTGATTGCAGATCACCACGTATTCGTATTATCACACCGTACCTTCAGTGTTGTTGACGTCTGCAAAGTTCTGGCTTTGGACGATTTTCTCCACGATGTCGTCGGCATCCATGCGGGTGTCGTTTACCCAACAGGGGTGACTCTCCACTGAGTCCAGCTTCCTCCTGAAACACAGCGATCAGAGGAAGAAGAAGAAGAGTTACAACAGGACGGCAATCTCAGCGAACCAACGACCGGAGGATTTGGGTCCGTGTCTGTACCTGGGGGGCCTGTTGGAGGGTAAGACGGGTCGCGGGGGTCTCGGGGGTCTTTCTGGACGTCCGGCGTCCTTGTCGCCGTCTGTAGGCGTGTCAGCGGCGAAACACAAGCCTCCGGAGGCGCTGCTTCCTGTCGAGGTGTTCCTGCGATGTGTGAGGTCCGACAGGCTGGAGGAGCAGGAGTGCTCAGTGCTGTAGCCTGATGGGAGACGTGAGGAGATATCAGAGGCTATCAGAGTGCTGCTTCGGCTGGTAACTTCATTCAAGCAATGAATTCCCTATTTTTTAAAGGGCACTTTTCTGGAATATAAAGAGCTTCACAATAAAAGTCTGCTGGTGAATCCTGTACCTGAGATTTTGCTGTGCTGGCTGGCGTAGCTGGAGTTACGAGAGTGGCCCGACTGGAAGAGTTCTGCAGCGCCGTACTGGTTCACTTCGGATTCTTCAAGGAGACCTGAAGGCACCAAAAGTATTAAAAAAGTGTTTATTTTGAGTTGAAATGTTAGTTTTAAGATAAAATGGAACTTTTTTGATCACGCAGGAGATTGTTGAGCCAGAGTTTGATCAAAGATTACAACAAAAGAATAAAAATATAAACTTATATAAAAAAATAGAGCAATAACCATCAAGTGTATAAGAAGTAATACTGACGCCCGTGTTTAATAGAAGCTTAAATAGAAAAATAAGTTTGTGCATGATGTTGAAATGTAATATTGCAGATGATGGATATCTTTGTTGTCAGTGTCCGATGTTTCAGCTTTTCTGCATCGTTTGTTTACTGTCAAGATCAATTGCAGCCATGTTGTTTGTTCCTGTGAAGTCAGACTGCTTTTGTAAACTAACTTTTGTTTGGTAATAAAATCTTGAACACTCGGGAACATTCGTGTCTGAGAAATCTCTCCCAACATACTAAAGAATGTCCTCGAGAACGAGGAAGAGTAAATCTTGCAAAACTTTGGCAGCTCTGCAAACATCAAAGCACACTTGTTTGTTTTTCCTTCATGAAACAGATTATTGACCTCTTGCATTGTCTCTGCACGCCCTCATAGGGGCCCAACACCACCGTTTGGGAACCACTGGCTGAAGGAAAACTGGGTACTTTGCCAGCTCGGAACCAGATCCAACACGTAACCTACGACCCCGACTGAAGGAGCCCAGACGTGAGGCGTACCTGAGCTGACGATGGAGGGTCGAGGTTTGGAGGCTCGGCCCAGAGAAACCCCTCCGGTCGGCCCCGGCTCAGCCGTCCCCTCCCCCTTACAGTCCAGCTGCAGGGTGTGCTCTCGTCCCGGGATGGAGATGGACTTCGCGGTGCTGGCAGGCCTGCAGGAAAAGACAACACACAACAACGTATCAGTCTGGAACAGATTAAATGCGCACAGAGCTGCTCGGCTTGGCACGCTCAGATAAGATTCATTTTATCGACTGAGTCACTGCAACACAGAACAAAGGAGCAAAAATATGATTAGTGTTTAACGAAGGTTAAAAATGTACATAAAACACCAAGAGACCGATAAATACGTGCAGCAACGTTAACCACAACTCCTCCAACAAATGTGTCAATCATGTGTATTTATTCATTTGTATTAATAATGATTTGAAAATGCTAGAACACAAGAGGCAAAATGTTTAGCATTTTTGTAATTTGTTTAACAAAATGGAAGGAAACCTCGTTATAATCAATGGTTTTACAGATTAACTGTAGAAGATATGTGTGCTTTATGAAGTTGAACATTTGAGTTAATCCGTTTTAAATCCAGAACGGAGACAAAGTGGCAAAATACCAACAAAAAAAGCTTAAAAGTGTGAAAGTGAGACTGAAAACTCTGCGTCAGGGTATAAAAATATCTGTGATTATAGAAATCAATGTATTTGAATAACAACACAATCAGTCCCAGTCTGATCTTTGTCGGTGAGATTCCTCACTCGCAGTGAGATCAATAGTTTGATGTGATGGAGGCTCCGTGATGAACAATGTGCGGCTCAACATTCAACCTTTACATTTAGAAATCACTGTGACATGAAGATTTTTAAAAAAAACTCACGTTTTAAAACACGGATCTCCAGACAGCAGGGTCATCCCGATGATCACCTGGAATAAAACGTAAAAAAAGATATTTCAGCACAAACTTTTCACACTTCTTCAGTTCCAAAACGTTGTTACTGCCCCGGGGAGAGGTGCTCTTTAAAGGAGAGGCGTTCATCCTCTTCTATCTGAGGAGCAGCAGTGAACATGTTTGAACTAAAACAACCTGTTGGCTGCCACAGCATTAATAAAAACTAAATTCCCAGAAAGCTCGCTGACGTCAGAGTCGGTGTAACATGAAGTCCTCCAGAGGAAGGAGACGACGCGGTGACTCGGGACCTTTCTTGTCTCTTTGTTTATTTCACAGAGCAGTCTGAACGGATGACCACCGGGTGGCGCCGCAGAGCGAACAAACCAGACGCTCCTTCACTCACGGAGACACTAGAACGGCTCCAGATCGATCATTTTAAAAGAATAATGCAGATTATCGTCTAAATAAATCTATAAGCCTTTTGGTCTATAAAACGTCAGGAAGGTGACGACTATAAATTGCTTTATGTCTTTAAGTTTACTGTTACATAACAAAAAGAAAGGCAGCAAACGAGACGCTGGAGCTTTTAATCTACAATCGATCGATTCATTCTTTAATGGACTCCTCATCACATCTGAAGGTGATTTATATCTAAATACATCCCGACAGCTGCATCTAAAGGGCACCTTGTCTGTACAGAACAGATTCATGGTGAGGGACGACACAAAGATAAAGCTGTAACGATGAAACTAAATCAAACAGACACTATTTTGATGATCACTTAATGGTTCCAGTCAGTTTTTAAGCACAAATGCAAAATATTATCTGGCTCCCGGTTATGAAATAAAAAGGTTTGCTGCTGTTCTCGGTCTTATAAGATAGTAAATTGAATATCTTTGGGTTTCTTGACATCTTACACTGAGCTTGAAAAACTTAACATTTCATTAGAGAATAACGAATAAAGGAATCGGGTGAAGTTGGAACTGGATCACGTTCAACGCAGCTGCTGAAGACTCAGTTCATTCGGTACGTCAGAGCTCTGACTTTTAAAACAAAGAAGCATTGAAAGATAAAAATTAAACCCAACCTGGAGGCCGATAGAACTACGGCTGCAACTGTTGATTATTTTCTATCTTGATTAATCGGTGGGCAATAAAATTAAGATCACAATATCCAAAACCCAAAGTGATGATCTTTAAATGTTCAAAACCCTCCAAAAATATCCAGTTTACCGTCAATTCAGACAAAGAAAAGCAGCAAATCCTCACAACTGAGAAACTGGAACTTGAGATTAATCGACGAGACGGAAGTAAAAGTAACAAAATATATTTTCACTTTGACAGAAAAAACAAAAGTCACCAGTTTTACACGACAAAGGGACAATTTATACACTCATTGATCTTTCCACGCTAGTCGCTTCTTGGAAAGCAATAAAAAATAAAAAAGGTCAAATATCAAAGTCTCAGAGTTAACGATCACGCTCGCTTCAGGCTTTAAATTTATGACACAATTAAAGTCACAGACGTGTAAAATAACTGAATCTCTCCTTCTTCTAACGGCGTTTTTAAGCATCCCTCTGTTAGATAAACACGGCGTATGTTTGGTCACTGATCACACGAGTGCTTGCCTTCAGGATGGAGTTGTCCTGCCGTGTGTTCTTGGTGTCGTAACCCTCCAGCAGACAGCAGCGCACGGTGGAGCCGGAACCAGCGAACTCCGCCATGTTGAGGTCTGTGAAGCCCAGCTGAGGGTGAGGAAGAAGAGCAGTTCATCATAGATCATATCCAGTTCTGTCGGTTCTCCTTCATCTCCGACTTCTCTGACAGCCACAGTGTCTCGAAATGTGCAGCTGCACGCTACCGCTATGCTCTCTGTGTCATCAAAAAAGTATTGTTGTTTTTGTACTTCGTACACATGCAAGTGGGCGTGGGGTGGAGAGAAAAGAACAAGGAGAATCCCCGGTCCTTCTTTTGACTTAGAAGCTTATTTCAATCCATTATTAATTATTAATGAATTTCATCAATTACACTTGCACTTTTACCAGGCATCAACCTCCGGTTCTGAAGAGTGTCCTGCATTCTCTCTAGTGTCCACCAGGGGGCGACTCCTCTGGTTGTATAGAAGTCTATGAGAAAATGACTCTACTTCTCTCTTGATTTATTACCTCAGTAAACATTGTAAACATGAGTTTATGGTCTTAATCTCTAGTTTCAAGTCTTCTTCAATACAGCATGATGTTCATTTAGTACATTATGGTCCATTTAGAGTCAAACAGACCATAAAGCAGGGGATGCTTTAGGGCGGGGCTTACTGTGATTGACAGGTTGCTGCCGCTACCAGAATCGTATACGTCTCTACGTCACTCCAAATATGGTCTCTTCTGTTCACTGGTTGCAAAAGCTAAGATGGCGACGACCAAAATGCGGAACTCGAGGCTTCAAAACATCAGTCTACAAACCAATAAGAGACGTCACGACGACTTCGTCCACTTCTTATATACAGTCTATGACTTATATGCTGCTATGACATTTCAAAATGGCTGCTGTGAAAACAACTGATTGCCACACAGTCGCCGATCAAACCGATAAGGACTCATGACCTTTACTCTGAAAACAAACCTCACAGCTTCTTGCCGTGGGGAAACTGCCTTTGTCTGAACTGCAATCATGATGCTATTTAAAATCAGCTCCTCTCCAGCTAAAGGTTCCCATTCTTTACTCCACAGGTTCCTCTTTTCCTTTACGAGCTTCTGTTTTCATAGGTGTGTATTTAAAGGAAGCCAACTTCTAAGGAGGGAAGCGAGGTATATTTAGCCGTAAGGAAACCTAAATGGAGACGGGCTGCAGAACAGAGGAAGCGGTTCCTGTCGGGGCGACAGCGTCCACGGATAAACTCGGTGAGGGGTTTGACCTTGTAATTTCAATCAACAGACGTGACTCATCTCTCAGGGGCTCTTAAGAGTTACGGTTAGCGAGGTGTTGCCAGGATGTTTCCGAAAACTCTGAGCAAATGTGAACCACGTTGTTTTGATTTATTATCACGCGCTCGTCAAAGTGCCATGAGAAATGCTAATATTTAGACGATAGGGCAGCACGGTTTACATCTGTAACCGCTTCTCTGTGTTCGTGAGCGTGAGAGGAGACGCGAGCTCTTACCTTCGTGTATGCTTTTCCTCCTTTGAGTTCCTGCAGGGGAAAACAGGAAGACAGTAATGAACCTTGGTGATCCAACTGATCCAACTTTATATTACAGAGGCCTCAGATTACAGGGCTCCCGACGAGAGAGAGTGGAAATTACAAAGTAGAGACCACACTGGTGGTTTCTCAGAGCGTGGCAACTGAAATATCCCGACGGCACTTCTGTGAGAACGTCTCCAGAAGTCTGAAAACAGTCTGTACGAGTTTGCTATTGGATGCAGTTCTGAAGGGTATCAACACAATAGTTTTAATACAGAAATACTTATTTTAATATCTTACTTGCACCTTGAGCTTCACAGGGTTAAATATAACAAGTTAAACAATGTTAATAATTAATCTAAATGTCCAGAAATGTATGTACTTTTCTGCCAAATTTAGTGAAGAAAAGGACATCTTGAAAAAGTAGTCCAGCGTAGTTGTAAAGGTGTAGAAGACAAACCCACGAAGCATAACCTGATGCTTAACCGGGCAGGTAGACCGCTCCAACAACATGCCGTCCTTTGAGAACATAGCAGCACGCTTCTTTACAACACATCCGTACGGATTCCCTCCAAAAAAATACAGATGTGATGATGTCGTTTATAACATCTCGACATAAAAAAACAATCCTTGGTGTCCTCGCCGATTGCTTTCTAGTATCACGACACCTCGTCATGCATCATAGTGACTTTTTGGAGAAGAAAACGTTGTAAGAGATTTGTTTTTTGATCTAGTTTTACACTTTGAGACTCGTACCTTCCGCACTGACACCCTGCACACTGACGGGTCCAGGACTCCCGTGTGGGGGTTGGCGCTCATTTTGGACACGAATGTGAACCTCTTCCTCCAGCGAACACAGTTCTCACGAACCTCATGTCTGTAAGGAGACAAAAAACAACACACACAGCTTGTAACACATAAATCTCAGCGATGAACAGTTTGGTATTCTTGTGCTTCCAATGAATTATTCATGTTGAAGTGCCTTTCTATTTGTGCGTACTCCTCACTTCTAGAGCTGCAGACTTTGTTTAATGGTAGTATGAATCATTTTTCTATTTGCAGAGACAATAAAAACGTCACATTTCCTGTAAAACGTCAGCAACCTAAAGCGTGTATTTATGCTATTTCCCTGACATTTATGTCAAACCTCTACATCCTCAAGACTGAGCAACTTATCATTTTGATTCGTTTTGCTCTCTGACTTCAGAACAACACATGTTTTTTCCAGTCATCCCAGTCTCACAACCTCGTGACCAGTACCGTCCACTGAGGAGCACATTAGTCAGAGCGACACTCAGAAACATGTTATGAGCAACTTTTTCCAAAACGAACTGAAGAAGCGAGCTGATTCATACATGCAGCTTTTTTTTGGATTATGAACCGGTGGGACTTTATCAACAAGACATTCTTGATGGTTTTCCCTCCTGCTTTACTGACAAGAAACCCTGCGAAGGAAACGGTGTACGATGGTCTGAAGATGTCTGTAAAAACACACTTTGCCTGGTCAGAAAATGCCAGTGGACTAAACCTTTTAAGTGTCCGTACATCCTGGCTGACGGGTGGGAATGCAGCAGGAGGTGTTACAACAAACCGGGTCACTGATCTGTTTATTCCTGGAAACAAAAGCTGGAGAATAGAAATGTCATAGAAACACTGGAGCAAAGCGGCAGCAGGAGGAGGAATGTGGACGAGTGAGACATCCTGATTTGCTTAATAAATCACTCGTGACATGTGACCGATCTAATTCTGATCTTATGCAGCCGTGCAAGTCATCTGTTAAGTTAGGCAACAATTGGTCAACTAATCAATCAGTGGATCGACAGACAAAATACCGTTCGACTACTTTGATAACTTTCTAGCTTTTCTTATATTCTTATTTTTGCCCTTTTGTTTTAAACACGCAATTTATAATTTATCGCTTTAGGAAATTGCAAAAGGCATTTTTCAAATCTATTTACGCTCTCAAATTTTATTAAGAAAATAATCAATTGATTAATGTATTAATGGACCATATTGAAAGTAATCATTTGTTGCAGCACTATTGGTTTTTGTGAGCTTTATGTGTATTTTGTTTGACCTTTCCATTAAAAAGATAAGATAAGCTTTTATCGATCCCCAGAGGAGACATTTTGGTGTTGAAGCATCAAAACAACAGAAATAAGTCCAGAAACGTATTGAATCGTATCGCATCGTATCGAAGCGTATCGTATCGAAACATATCGAATTGTATCGAAGCGTATCAAAACGTATTGAAGCGTATCGAAACATATCGAATCATATCGAAACATATCGAATCGTATCGAAGCGTATCGAAACATATCGAAACATATCGAATCGTATCGAAACGTATCGAATCCCATCGCATCGAAACGTATCGTTTCTACAGTAGCCCAGAATGAATAAAAAACAAACTCTGGCTCCAGAGAGGGCCTTTCACGTTTTTGCGTCGCCCACCGTAGTTCTCCTAAACGCTTGGCACAAGTTTCAGTTGGTTTCAATCTGCAACCTCACAGCTAGATGCCACCTAATCCTACACACTGCACCTTTAGGGTTAACTGAAACGTTTGGTTGACAGAATGATGGTCGCTCACAGAACAGCGTAGAGTCTCTTAACTTAGACATAATGAAGGATTTTTTACAAGGATTTTGTTGGGATTTTGTCCCCCTATATTTGGTATGTAGCATTTTAGAGTAAAGCTTTAAACTACCATGTTTCAGCACCAGAAACGTTCCTAATTAACCAGAGATAACACCGTAGAATCAGCACTTGGGTCCAGTCTGAAATATCTCAAGACATTTGGTACAAACATGAATGATTCCTGGAAGATGTCTTTGGACCGTTTCATCTGACATTTGTGATTTTGGGTGAAATACCTCGACAACTAGTGCATTTATGATCCCTTATACTGAAGACGTCCTCATCAGCCTCAGACTACGATGGTGACCAATGGGAGACACTATAGCTGCTTAAATACCATCCTGTTAAAAAGCCCCGTAATCTGCTCATTTAGGAGTTTTCATTAGATTCTCAGTCACAAAGACGTGCTGAGAAGAAGCAGATGGACTGAACAGACAAATGTTTCTGGAGTAACTTTACCTGCATTACGCCTTCTTAATTCTAACAGATATAAATCACATGGAGGCTGAAAGAGACATGCTGCTACTGATGAGCGGTTTCTATCGGAGCAGCTTTGATACTCTAGATGAAGTACATTTTCATAAAGTTATTTATCATCAAACGCACAATTACAGAGAAGCAGTCGTTGGCAGTGGAAAATCTCCGGTACCCTCCAACGACGCTGATTAAATATGTAAAATAAAATCACATAAATATGAGAATATAAAATATATTAAAATATGTAATCGCACCATTGTGACGGACCTAAAGGTGACGAAGAGGAAAACTGTGAGCCAGTAAAGATGGATATAAACGATGCCAGGTTTAAAATACTTTAAAATATCAGCTTTGCAAATGTTTTACTACCAAGTTATTTATTGTTATGTGCACGACAGTTACGGAGAAGCAGAAGCTCTCATTAATTATGTATGACAATAAAAAACACATAACAAATGAGAATATAAGACTATAATATATAATCATCGACTAGTCAGCTGTTCTGTTTGAGTTCTAATTCAGTTTCAGTCTTATTTTATTACGTTTAATTTCAGTTGTGCTATAAATATGATCAGAATTAGAATACTTTATTGATCCCTGGGTATCAATATGATCAGAATTAGAATACTTTATTGATCTCTGGGGGGAAATGTGCACGTTGCAGCTGCTCCTCTGTAGAAGCACAAAGAAATACAAGAAGAAATATAAATAAAGGATTGTGTAAAATAATATGTGGAAAACTATACACAATATATACAGAGAATACAAATAAATATCAAAAAGAGGAAACAAGGAATGAGAAATAAAGAAAGTGTGTGCATCAGACGAACACGACCACCGTGTAAAAAAAGCAGAGAAGAGAGATCTGTTGAGTTATTTAAATAAAGAAGAGTAAGAATATATCTCGAAATAGAATACATCTTTAAATGTACAATAAAATGCAGTATTAATGAAAGTACTGCACGGTTACATTAATGTACAAGTTATTGTAGCGTTTTATCATTATTTAGATTTATTCTAATTACTGCACATGAGGCAGTTTGAGTGATGGTGTGAGACAGAAGGTGCTAATGACACACACACACACACACACTCTAGCAGCAGCTGCTCCCCCCCCCCCCCCCAACACAGTCACCATTATCCACCATCTCTCCACAATGTGCTGTGCTTTCTTTGACCATGTTTCATTGTGTGTAGTTAAACACCTTTAATTAGGAATATCAGGCAAAGTTGTTTTGTTTTGAACGATGCTGGATTCAAAACACTGGTTTTCTAGTGTTTCGTGAGGAAGCAAACGCACTCCTCACGGTGCGCTTTGCACTGAATGGAAACATAGCTTTTGTTTGTTTACAAGAAAACCCCACCGGGTCTCTTTAAACTACAGTGTCTACTAATATTAATCCATGCTTTACTCAAAATAGTGGCACCTGCAAGAATAAAAACTCCCAAAAAACCCACAAAAGAAGTTTGTAAATGTTCCTTAACTTCTGATCCTAGACCAGCTACAGTGAGGATTCGCCCTCGTGCATCTATCCCTGGAAACCAGTGCGGTTCTCAGAAGAGTAGGAACACTCTCGGCTGTTATCAGTACCCCCTCGCTATTGGTCCTCCAGTGTGCAACGGGGAGCGTTTCCAAAACCGCATTCCTCAGTCCAGATGGCTTTGTTCAGCCGCCATGGAAACCTCTCACTCCTCGAAACCCACCGCCGCTCCGCCAGCAGCTCAGAGGAGGAGGAGGAGGAGGCGGCGCTCACACCGACTCCCTCTCCTACAGCCTTTAGACGTTTTTACAAGCCCTCCGTTCGTTTGCTTTTAATCTCACCTGCAACCTTTGTGTCTCTCGTATCCGCTCCTTTTACTCTCACGTGTTCTAGGGTTAGTGTTGTGCAGGAGGAGGAGTGAAGCTGTTAACATGTGTTTTCTGGCTGTGTTTGCACAGATTATCCAAACTCTGACTTTTGCCTCTCAGATGAGACTCACATCTGAGCTGAACAGCAAAAACCTGCATGGACTCTGATCAGAACCACATTCATATCTGATACCAACAATAACCCATAAAAACTAGAGTCTAAGACATAAAATACTGCATAAGTTAAAATATATAATCACAATATTCCACGGAGCTAAAGGTGATGGTAAGATGCCAAAATATGCTGCACTGTGCCAGCAAAGGTAGAAAACTGAGCCCCTCACGGTTTGGCACACTTGTGAACCGTACCGGACGACTGTGATAGACGTATACCTCTCCGGTAGTGACCTGTCAATCACAGTAGCCC